ATGTATATCAAGTGCAATAGCATTTTTGTACAACCGCGTCCTAGTAAATCAGAGAATTCCTGCGTACACAGCTGTACGGTTCATAGAATCTATTTGTAGACGCATCTTAGGGAATCGGGACATCCTCACCTGTTATCCATATATTTCAGTGAGCGGGCGCTTTGAGCTTGTAGTGTGCGTGCACGGTATCGTTATCTTGTTCTCTCCAGGCTCTACTTAACGTTGGCTGAATAACAGGGTGGTTAATGATAAAGGGATGGGACACTTAGATGTGTGTGTATGAAGGTGCCAGCTGACGTGTCTTTGCATGTCGTGTTGTTGAATGCCGGTCAATTGGTGTCATCTCATAGTACCAATTTGACTGTGCAACGACTCTTTGCAACCAGGTCTGTATATAAGGACATACGGTGGCGCCTCGAGATATTCTTAATATACATGTGTAGTGGATGGCAAGTTCAGTTATATCGGATATACAAATAAGTGTATATACGCCTCGCACAGACATGCAACAAGTATCTAATACACAATTCATTTGGAACAGGCCGTGGAATCAGTTCGAGACTCTAAAAACCCTATATTTGACCGTGTCTCCGGAAGCAAAGGCTATACTTCTGTCTACCTTTGCCAAGTATATGAATCTTTTCCCGGAGCTAAAACCTACGATTACTCAGGTATGTTGAGGTTAAGTCTAGTATGTGATTCTATCTAGGCTGGTTGCAATAGCACCGAGTACAGTGTGTGTTTCTGGGTAGGTAAGTTGGTAGGTAAATAAGTATGCGAGATGTGTGTGATTCCTTTTGTCGTGGGTTTGACCCCAATGGCCGTGTGTGCTGCACACTTTACGGAGCGCAGTCAATACTGTATGCCTTCTGTTTGGATCTCAAACTCACCTAAACTTAAATGTTGAAGTTTGTGGTGGTTATTTGCGAGTTTCATTCAACATTGTGTGACATGCCAATAGCCTGTTCGCATGAGGTTCTACCTTATGTACATATATCTCGCACCTTTGACGATCTACTTGGCACTATGTGACATGTCTATGGAACCCTCAGTATCGTTTGAAGGTCTCCCGTGTGTGTTCGTTATATATTATATATTCACCTGCTGTGTAGATAATCTGTGTATACAATCATCTGACGCCCCAGTTGTCGCCTTCCCCCGCCTCACCAAATGTATATCGCTTACAATGTGTCACACCCTCAGCTGTTCAAATCGGATCTGATTTCCAAGAACCACAACCCGGAGCTGCAACAAAGGGCCATAGAGTACCTAATGCTGGGCACAATTGTCAATGAAGATTTACTGGTAGGTTTTTTCTCCGAAGTTTTTGTGAATTGGCTTGGCGCTATGCTCTATAACAGTAAGTACATAGGTGCCGCTGATCCGTGACCCGTATTGTATCTAGGATATGAGAAGTTGTATGTATTTCATATACACGGTATTAGGAGATGGGTGGTTGAGGTTCCAGGGGGGGTGGGGGGGGGGCTTGTGGTGACCTCGACAGTCGCACATGCAACCAAGTGTTGCGAGGCGTAGGGTCAGTCCTTCGAGAGTGTGCACTAGTCTACTCACGAGTTCCTCATTCAGTTCAACATCCTGATCATTTGCGGTGAGGCAGTGAGTGCTACCTTGATTGGTAGGAATATGGATCTGTGGCAATTTAGGCATTGTATGACGCGTTCCGTATGGGATAAATGGCTGGAGGTGGGCAATACCCGGCTCTAGTGGTGACAGAGTGCACCCGGATTCACCCACCAGAGTCGCATGTCCCTTCCGCCACCGTTGCCCGTTACTTAGCACCCATACCGCATGTATAAACTCTTCATAGTCACACAGTTCAGAAGATATAGGCTTTCCCAGCGCAACCCGCGACTCACTCCCAAGTTGCGTAAAAAGTCGGACCAGACAAAACGCCACAGATCTGAGCGCTTGACCACATGTCAGGTCCACATGCGGACAGTAACTGACATACCTACCTACTTTGTATCGCATCAAATTCCTTACTCAAACTTATTTTCTGAATGTTAACTGGAAATAAAAAATCATGAACAAAGTCGCTGAATGTACATTGATATTTCATCGCATCACAGCAAGCGGTGCTGGAGGAGATGCCGCCGTATCCCGAGCGAGACAGTACCATTCTGGCCAAGCTGCACGCGAAGGAGAACTTTGTCACAGACAAAACATGGGGCCAATCGAAGGTATGTGTATATACGTCCATATATCAACACATACACACACACACACTCTCTCTCTGTCTCTCTCTCTCTCTCACGTGATGTGTTTACATACTTTCCGGCTCAGATAGGGATAATTGTACTGGGATAGCCTACGAGATACTATCGTATGCTACTACCGCCCTTTTATAGTGTCGTCACAGTGTTATACCACCCACACACCTCGTGTCATTTCCTACCGTAGTTTCGACCCATTTTTATTTAAGGTATCTTTGCGACCTAAAACCTTGCAAACAGGGTCGTAACGCTGCCAAGTCCACGGCACTGACAGTCACGGATGCCAACGATTCAGCAGTCACTACCAATAATAACCAACCCCAAAGCCAAAATGCACCGCAAGTGGACCTATTGAATATGGACGATCCTACTGTTCCGGTAGCGCCGGGTGGAATCGTGTTGGGCTTCGACGGTCCTGCACCTACTGCGCCGAGTGCAGGTACGCCCATACACACATACGCATATTTGTGTGTGTGTATGTATAA